GATGTGCCGAGCCTGCAGCCGGCCCCGGAGCAGCGGTGTCTGTGCCCTGGGGCTCGTCGGGCTGTGCCCATCTGGGGAGGGGTCTCCCCTTGCCCTGAATGAATGTTTGGGAACTGAGATGCAAAATCCTTGGAGCTGTGGCTGCCCAGGGGTCCCGTCCCTGCGGGATTGTGGAGGTTTTAGCTCCCACCTCACTGTTCCCTCCGGGTTGTCACCTCCCAGCTGCCTGGGATCTAGCCTGTGCTCTTCCAGCGCGTGCTCGGCACGGCGTAACTGCGGTGCATCACAAACTCAAGCACCAGCACCCGCAGATTTTTATAGTGGTGGTCCCAGCACCGTTGGGTTGTTCTGTCCCTGGGGCAGGATTTCTCCTGTGAATCTCCCAGGATGCTGAGAGTGGGGTTGGACTTTGATGCAACACTGTCCTGAAAATCCATTTATATGCCGGGACCTTCCCTCCCACTCCGACGGTGCGTGCAGGAGCCCATCGCCGTCATGCCCGGGGTGGAGGAGGCAGGGTGAGAGTGGGGGGCTGTCCTGTTTTCCCACCTAACTCCCCTTCTTGGTGACTCCCAGGGAAAAGCTGCGCGTCCCTTCTGCGAGTGGAGCCCTTTGTCTGTGCCCAGTGCCGCACCGACTTCACCCCTCACTGGAAACAGGAGAAAAACGGGAAGATCCTGTGCGAGCAGTGCATGACTTCCAATCAGAAGAAGGCGCTGAAGGCAGAGCACACCAACCGACTGAAGAACGCCTTCGTGAAAGCTTTGCAGCAGGAGCAGGCAAGTACACAGCTCCTCTGCGAGCTGTGCCGGTGGGGCACGCTTGCTCCGGGAGAGCCTGGAGCTCCCCGCCTCGCTTCTTGGGGTCCCCCTGCTCCCCTTCCCTTTGCACCTCTCCAGCCGCCGTGGCTTTTCGCTAGGTCAGTCAGGGTTCCCCATGCGTGAGCTCGAGGAGTTTGGCTTCTCCGTGGGGATGCCCAGCTCGGCACGTGGAGCTTCTAGCAGCGAAAGGCTGGTGCTGAGCATCCAGACTACTCCGGAGCGGCTGCTCCTCTCCCTCTGCACTGTTTTCCCCTTGGCTTTGTAGCTCAAGGGCTGGCTGGGGACAGCTGCCTTCCCTCCCCGCTTTTGCCACTGACTTCCCTGGAACTTGCAGGAAATCACTTAACTGCCTGCTCGCTGTTGTGTGGAAGGGGGGAATTTGCTAAATTCCTGTGATAAATTGGTGTTGGAGAGCTTGTTTAGGGGCCCTGGGGTAAAATAAACCGGAATCATCATTTATGAACTGTAAAAAAGGAAAAAAAAAAACCCAAAACCCTAAATATGAAGTGGAATCTGGCTGCTGACAAATGGGTCGTGCTTGTTGCGGAGCAAGAAGAGTCTTGGGCTGTCTGTAACAAGTGGGTGCAGAGATAGAAAAGCTGTTGGTGTTGGTTGCGGGCGAGACTGCGGTTCCCGTAACACCTTGGGAAAGCAGCCGGGTTTTCAAAGGAAGCAGTGATTGCAGAACGTGGGGAGAGGGACCTGCTTTTTCCCCCCCTGCCTCCTGGGAATGCCGCCCAGCGCAGCCGGTGTCGCTGTGAGCCCCGGCGTGCCCTGCTCGTGGCACTGGAGGGGTCGGCTTGGC